GCTAGTTCAGGCAGAAGTGACCTCACAGCCCCTTTCTTTGACACGTTTCTGCTGCTGCCCTATCAACTGCAGGGACAGAAGTGACCTCACAGTCACATTGCTCCTGCTAGGGCAGGAGATCCTGAGGCAGAGCTGAGCTCATCAGTGCATTCCCACCCATCTCCTCCTTGTGAGTTGATCAGATCCATGGCCCCTCACATTCATCTTTGAATGCCATGTGACTGCACAGCAGCCTCACGGTTCCTGCCCTGCCCCAAGGGCCTAAAGTTAAGGCTTAGGAGAAGGATTGAATGTGAGGAAGTTAATGCACAGAAATGGGGGCTTTGGGTGTTAGTTGTTCATTTATGGCATTAAGGACTAGAGCTCACCTTTCTGGATTAGAGATGAAGCAAAGGTTTAGTGTTCTGCTGGTGGTGTCAGGTCTGTGGTTAGGGTATGGTCAAGCTCTGCAGTATAGGGTTTTGTTTAGGTCTGCAAGAAGACGAGGGTTAAATAGAGCGCTTTAATGCTAGTGTTAAGGGCAGGCATCAAGGCGAGCAAGAATGTAAGCATAATGGAAAGTGGCTATGAACTAAGTTTGGCTTCAAGGGATATTGTGATCAAACATTAGAGTAGGGTATTCCTCTCAGGGTGTAGAGCAGCATTTATGTTTAGGGATTAATGTTACAGATTAAAATAGGCTAAGGGCCTCACATGACTGCTTTAAGTCAGCATTAAGTCAGGATCAACATTACCTCAACCTCTTTGTGGGTAGTTAGGGTCTGGCGGCCGGAAGATGTCGTGCTGTACGGAAAGGTGGAGCCCCTCCCTTGATGGACAGTAGCGTGTGGCCTGTGATGTAAGCAAGCGGAAGTGACGCTATGGGCCTCGGGTATATAAGCCCATGTGACTCGACAATAAACGCCATTTGCCATCCACCACATTGGTGTCTGTGAGCTGATGGACCGAGCGGCCTGGGGTTGGCCGCCGTGCCGTTCCTGAACCAGGTCGCCACTGCCCCCTGAAGGCAACACTCTTTAAAATCATAATTCTTACCTCTTCCAAGTTGTTATCTTCTGCTATCCAAGCTCCTCCTCCCTCCCCCAAATCTCTCATCTCTCCTGGCCAGGTTTTCCTGACTTCCTGATATCAGCCATCTTCTTAGGGGCAGTTTTCTGATGGCTTTCATGAATTTAGAGTATCTGTCTCACCTCTGCTGGCTAGTCCATGTCTGAGAAAGAAACAGCTCCTAAGCCAGCCTGGAGAAAGACACCAAGGTCTGTAGGAGCACCCTGCACAATGTGCCCAGCAGCTCTGCAACACCTCAAAAGTGCACTTTCTGCCTATAACTTTTGGATCTAGAATGGCTGCTATGGACCCAGGGTAACTTCTTCCAAGCTCCCATGCAGGCTTTATGTTCCCCCGGGCATCAGGGAGGCAGTGGCCCCCTCTGTGTAGAAAACTGAAAGCAGTCCTGAAGGATTAATTGGGCAAAGATGAAACCTCTGACATGACAACACATGACAAAAGAGTGTAAAAGAGTGTAATTATTAATAGTTTCTAAGAGATGAAGATATGGAGGTGGCAATAAATTTATCCTATGTCGGTGTTATCCAATAAAGCAAAAGTATTACCTTAAACCAGCCCCCAGAACCGATAAACAGCCTGACATGGAAGACAGTTAGTAATGTGCTATACAACACAATTCTGAAAACAAGCACAACAGACCTGAGATCAAAAAATCAACATTGTAATCAGCAACTTTTAAAGTGATCTAATGCTTATAACAATTTACTTTTAAAACACTGTGGTCAGATCTGTTGTCTCAACCTTTGTGCTCCACAAAAGGCACCAAAAAGATTTGCTGTGGTTTGACCTTGCAGGAAGCTCAACACTCCAGTGATATTCATCCAGTGGGATGGAGGAGAGAACTGAGAGGAAACAAAAATGCAAAAGATCGTGGGTTGAGATAAGGCAGTTTATTAGGACACAAAAGGAATTACAATAATTATTATTAGTAGTATCGTTGTTGTTGTTGTTAAATGTTAATGTTATAGACACTAATAGACTAAGGGCATGATATTTTTGTGTGCATATCAAGAGATAGGAAAATCGATGGTGATTAATTGGGAAGTGTCTGACCTGAGCATAACAGACATGGTACGGAATGAGGGGTAGCTATTGTCCTAGTTTTGACTAAGATAGTTTTTTGTTTGTTTGTTTTTGTTTGTTTTTCCTAGTAGCTGGTATGGTGCTGTGTTTCATATTTACAGAATCACACAATAGTTTGGGTATGAAAGCACCTTAAAGATGACATAATTCCAACTCTCCTGACATGGTCAGAGACACCTTCCACTAGACCAGGTTGCTAAAAGCTCCATCTAACCTGGCCCTGAGCACCTCCAGGGATAGAGCATCCCTACAGCTTCTCTGGGCAGCCTGTTCCTCACCACCCTCTGAATAAAGAACTTCTAATTTGCATTTACCCTCTTTCAGTTTAAAACCATTACCCCTAGTCCCATCACTACTCTCTGATGAAGAGTCCCTCCCCAGCTTTCCTGGGAAGTACCCAGGAAAGGAGACTAGAAGGCCACTGTAAGGTCTCCCCAGAGCCTTCTCTTCTCCAGGCTGAACAACCCCCAACCTGTCTTCAGATGAGAGGTGTTCCAGCCCACTGCTCATCCTCATGGCCCTCCTCTGGACTCATTCTAATAGATCTGTGCCCTTCTTGTGCTGGGGGCCCCAGAGCTGAACACAGTACTCAAGGTGTGGCCTCACCAGGGCCGAGTACAGAGCAACAATCATTTCCCTATTTCTGCTGACCACAGTAAGAAAACTCTTGACATTTACAAAAAGAAGAACTTAGTCCTGCAACAGAAGAATAACCCTATACATCAGGGCAGACTGGGACCCTGCTGAGTGAGCAGTGCCCAGGAGGAGGAGGGCATGGCCACCACGATGGATGCCACAGGGCAATGGTGCCTGATCACCGGGAACCAGGCTGGCTTCATAAAGAGCTGTCTTATGAGATATTTGTGTCCATGGCTAGGGCTGTTGTCTCTGCCACTGAGGCCTATGAGGAGACAGCTAATCACTAAAGCACCAGAGCCTGATTGAATCCTCGCCCACCTATGAACGAGGCAGGGGTCATACAATTATCCTGCACTTGTCCATGCACATCCCCATCTCCCACTGCCCCAGGAAGAGCCCTGAGCAATGTGTGAAGGGAAAGGATCTCCCTTCCAGGGGCCGGGGGTCAAGGCTCAGCCCTTGTGCTTGGTGAAATACATCCAGGTTTCCTACAGATCAGTATCACCTTCATATTGCCTTTGTCTACTTGTCCTCACTGCCTCCAATGTTCTCTTCTAATGAGCTCCAAGGGAGGCTGTGTCAGTGCTGGCTCTCAGGAGGACACTCCAAGAAACCTTCGCCTGACTTGGACTTGGAGAGATTTCTTCAATTTTCTCTCAGTGCCTTCATTTTGAGGTCTCATCACAAAAGCCACCAGAGGGGTGATTACAGTGCTTGGGCTGGGCCTCTGCTGTTTAGCTGGGCTGGGCTCCTGGGACAGAGGAAACACATTTCAAAAAGACCCATGATGGAGAGAGACAGCTCTGCCCAGGAGCAGCTCCTCTGCACAGCGCAGCAGGGCTGGGGGCTCTAATCACAGGTGGCACTCACAGAGGAGAGAAGGAGAGAGGGGTTGGAGGCAGTTGAGAGTGGGAGAATGCTGAGAGCTGACTGGAGGAGAAATCTGCACAGCTCTTGACAAGGTAAGTCTCTGGCTGCAGAGCCATGCAGCTGCAGCTCCTGAAAGGGTCTCCTTCTGGGTCATGTTTCTGGGAGGGCAGTGGGCAATGCAGTAGGCTTTGAGAGTCCTGCTGGATTACACTGCAGGGTGAGGAAGTCTGGCAGAAGCCCCTTGGAGTGCCCTAACCCAGGTGCCCCCTTTCAGGCCAGAACACCCTGCCCTGGCTGGCCATGCCGGGCTCTCTGTCAGCTGCCCCGTAGCTCCTGCAGCCATGGAGGTGCCCCTTGGCCATGCCCTGCTGGTGGCAGGGTGCTGCAGGGCAGTGCTGAGCACAGCCCTGTGGGATGGGGTCTGTGAGCACGGGCAGGGGCAAAGAAGAGGCAGGCACAGAGCAGCAGCTCCCAGCAGGGACAGCTGCAGGCAGCAGAGAGAGGCGCAGGTGGCCAGAAGCAGCTGTTGGCAGAAACACCATGGCAGTGAGGGATTCGGGCACCTTGCAGCCATGCCCTGCAGTGCAGATGCCTTCCCCTGGAGCAGCCCCTCCATGGCCTCCTCAGCCCATGCAGGGGCTATGTGGCAGGCATGGCCAGCATAGCAGGCAGAGCCTAGATGAGGAGAAGCTCCCAAGCTCCGTCTGCCTTGCTGTCTCTTTCCTTCCTTGGCAGCCATATCCAGTTTCTTCTCACGGAAACACCTGAGCAGGATGGTCTTGCAGCTCAGAGGTGTGGCAAAGGACAACTGAGGACAACTGAGAACTGGTCTGATGGGCAGAGCTGCACTGCTCGGTCTTCACCAAGGGACAGTCTGTTTGCCTCCTGGCACCCATAGGATTTCACCAGGAGTGTAGAGGAAATGTCAGGGAGTTCAAGTTCTCTCCTAAGCGTGAAAAGGGTAATTGAAAAAAGAAAACAAAAGAAAAAAAAAATCCCTGCAGCTCTGCTCTGCATTGAGATGAGTTGTTTGCAACAACACTGCAAAGCTCATGGATGTGACAAGTGGACGGCACCTCAGTTTCCCCCATGTTCCTGCTTCCCTCCTGCGGCACAGCGGGAAGGACTCCTCTGGAGCCCACAGCAGCCCCTGCTCCCAATGCCACTCTCAGACAGCACCTGCTGCAGCTTAATCAAGAGACCAGCAGAAAGGCTGTCCTGCAAAGAAAGAGGCTCTTTTTGGGGGTGCTCTTAAGACTTGCAGTAGGTTATCCTGAGAGAAGTCTCGTCTAACTTTGTTCTACTTTCCCCTCTTCAGAGATGACACTGAAATTCAGAAAATGCCGAACATCAGCTCTGTGAGTGAGTTCCTCCTGCTGCCATTTGCAGACACACGGGAGCTGCAGCTCCTGCACTTCGCGCTCTTCCTGGGCATCTACCTGGCTGCCCTCCTGGGCAACGGCCTCATCCTCACCACCGTAGCCTGCGACCACCGCCTCCACACCCCCATGTACTTTTTCCTCCTCAACCTTGCCCTCCTCAACCTGGGATCCATTTCCACCACTGTGCCCAAAGCTACGGCCAATGCCCTCTGGGACACCAGGGCCATCTCCTATGAAGGATGTGCTGCACAGGTCTTTTTCTTTCTCTTCTTTATAGCAGCTGAATATTCTGTTCTTACAGTCATGGCCTATGACCGCTACATTGCCATCTGCAAGCCCCTGCACTACGGGACCCTCCTGGGCAGCAGAGCTTGTGCCCAGATGGCAGCAGCTGCCTGGGGCAGTGGCTTTCTTGATGCTGTCCTGCACACAGTTAATACATTTTCCCTGCCCCTCTGCCGAGGTAATGAGCTTGATCAGTTCTTCTGTGAGCTTCCTCAAATCCTCAAGCTGTCCTGCTCAGAGTCGTTCCTCAGGGAGGTTGGGCTCATTGTAGTTAGTATCTGTTTAGCATTTGGCTGTTTTGTTTTCATTGTGCTGTCCTATCTGCAGATTTTCAGGGCCGTGCTGAAGATCCCCTCTGAGCAGAGCCAGCACAAAGTCTTTTCCACGTGCCTCCCTCACCTTGCAGTTGTCTCCCTATTTATCAGTACTGGCATGTTTGCCTACCTGAAGCCCCCCTCCATCTCCTCCTCATCCCTGAACCTGGTTGTGGCAGTTCTGTACTCGGTGGTTCCTGCAGCTATGAATCCCCTCATCTACAGCATGAGAAACAAGGAGCTCAAGGATGCATTGAGGAAACTCTTTGGATATACGTTTCTTCACCATTAATAACGGACCCAAAGTCTGAACAGTCCTAACTCAATTTTTTTTTCGGAATATGTGTTAGAGCAGTCTTACTTTTGTACTATTTTCTGAACCTTGTGATTTTCATTCAGAAATGCTATTCTTAGTATCCTGTGTTCTATTTATTTTTGAACCAAGTATGTCATGTACTTATGGAACTGGGCTTCCCGTTCAGATAAAGACAGTAAAGAATCCAGCAGAAATGCATTGGTCTCAGCTTCCGTCCCTTCCCATCTCCTCTGGAGCTGGGGGAGCAGCCCCAGTACGCAGGAGGGGCTCAGGATCAAGACCCCACCTTCCACATGGAGGAGCAGCCCTGGTGGCCCTTGGGGCTGCCCCTCACTGCCTGCTGGGCTCTGCCTCTCTGCTACCTTCAGGTCAGGGCTGCTGCTTCCCTGGAGCCATGGCCATGGCCAGCAGCAGGACCTGGTCTTTTCACATCTACTCTCTTTAGGCTTCTACGTTGTTCTCTTGTACTCCTGTATTTGTGTTAGCCCTCAGATTTCATGTACTTTGGTGACAGTCCTGTTATGTCTGCAGTGGCCTCTCTGCAATATCTCTGAACACCTCTTGCAAACCTGGTTTCAGGAACACACCCAAGGAGCTGCTTCCTGAACAGACCTCTTGCTTTTCTGGTCCTCACAATGGATCAGAGCTCCAGAGTCATCAGTGAACGACCAAGGCCTGGACTGGGAGCTGCCTTCTTGCTTGCCTATGGCCCAGCAAACAATAACTGGCCTTTGACTTATCTGCTTGGGACTGTCCCACTTGTGCTGGGGCTGATTGCAAATGGCATCTTGGAGAGGAATGTGGATGTGCCAGGAGATGTCAGTTGATCTCCAGGGACAGTGTGCGAGTATGGGTTGGTAGAGAGTTGTTCCTCATCTAGTGAGTGATGATACAAGGTACAGCATAGAATCATAGAATCATAGAATCATAGAATCTCCCAAGTTGGAAGTTACCCACAAGGATCATCAAGTCCAACTCCTGGCACCGCACAGGTCTGCCCAAAGGTTTAGACCGTGTGACTAAGTGCACAATCCAAATACTTTTTAAATTCAGACAGGCTTGGTGCAGTGACTACGTCCCTGGGGAGCCTGTTCCAATGTGCAACCACTCTCTCAGTGAAGAACCTCTTCTTGATGTCCAGCCTAAACTTTCCCTGCCTCAGCTTAACACCATTCCCACAGTGTTTACAGAGAATAGACCAGCACCTGCCTCTCCACTCCCCCTCGCGAGGAAGTTGTAGACCGCGATGAGGTCCCCCCTCAGCCTCCTCTTCTCCAGGCTGAACAGGCCCAGTGTCCTCAGCCGCTCTTCATACGTTTTCCCCTCTAGGGTCTTCACCATCTTTGTCGCCCTCCTCAGGACACCCTCCAACAGTTTAATGTCCTTGTTGTACCCAGAACTTCACACAGTACTTGAGGAGAGGACGGACCAGTGCAGAGTAGAGCGGGACAATCACCTCCCTTGACCAACTAGCAATGCCATGCTTGATGCACCCCAAGATATGGTTGGCCCTCCTGGCTGCAAGGGCACAATGCTGGCTTATATTCAGCTTGCTGTCAACCACAACCCCTAGATCCCTCTCTGCAGGGCTGCTCTCCAGCGTCTCATCACCCAGTCTGTATGTATAGCAGGGTTGCCCTCTTCCAGGTGCAGGACCTGGCACTTGCCTTTGTTAAACTTAACGTGGTTGGTGATCGCCCAGCTCTCCAATCTGTCCAGATCTCTGTGCAAGGCCTTCCCACCCTAATCAGAGTCCTCAGCTCCTCCAAGTTTGGTGTTGTCGGCAAATGTGCTCAAAAGACCTTCTAGTCCTACATCCAAATCATTTATAAAGACATTTATAAAGCATCCCAAAGGAAAAGATGACCCTGAAGAGCCGATGGGTTAAGGAGGGCTCTGCCATGCCTGCAGGGGTTGTGAGGAGCCAGCAGGCAAAGGCACCAAAGAGTCAACTGTGGTTCAGGACAACTTCTTTGAAAGCTCCTGAGCTGGATCTAGTACACCACTTGCCTGCCCTTTCATCACTTAGAGATACCCCACGGCCCTGCCAAGCACTGCCCTGTGCTGCTGAGACACCAGGGCAGATGGAAAGGGGCTCAGCAGCAGAGAGCCCCACTGACTTGGGTCTGCTGCCCACCCTGAGCAGCATGGGCACTGGAGAATCCCCTGGGGGTCCCAGGGCATCACAGCTCCCTGGCTTTACAGAGCAGCACCACCAGCTCGGGGCTCGGTGGGGTGCACGGGGAGGGAAGCAGCAACAGCAGGACAGGCCAGCACGGACACACTGCCCTGGACAAGGCTCTCTGGGAGCAGGGATAGCCCTGGGGAAGAGCAGCGCAGCATTTCTGGGCATACCCAGAGGCATAAAGGAGAAAGCTTTTTCTGCAGGCCCCTGTTTGGGGCAGGCTGCTCTATGCCTGGGCCAGGCCTCTTGTGCTGGCCTGGGGAGTGGGGCTGGCCCTGCAGGGCACAGGCACTCTGTGCTGGGGATCTCCCAGGAAAGAGAGCAGGGTTCCTGCAGCTTCATGGATCTCCATCTCCTGAGCCTTGGCTGGCCCCAGCCCGGGGGCTGCTGGGGAGGCCCAGAGCCACCTTTGTCCCAACAGCTGTGGTGCCTTGCGAGGGGCTGGGGCTGTGGTGGCTGTGCCCAGAGCCCTGCAGCAGCCTGTGGAGGGCACTGCCCTGGGCTGCTGGGCCGGGCTGGGCTGGGGAGAGGGCAGGGAGCTGGGGAGAGGTGGGCAGGGTCTGGGCTGGACTTGGCAGTGCTTGGCAGAGGGCAACAGCAGCATCAGGGAGCGGTGGCAGCATGCATGGGAGGGCTCCCAGCAGGGCTTGGTGCTGCAGAGCCAGGGCTGCACGAATGGAGCCCAGAGCTGCAGGGGCAGGGGAGAGGAGGCTGCTCTGGGCCCTTGCTGCCCTGGGAAAAGCAGGAAGGGGGCCCAGGGCATTCGTCCCTCACCGCAGACTACCAGGACCTGCAAGGCGGTCATGGAGCACCCAGGGCCAGGCTCTTCCCCGTGGCCACAAGCCCTGCCTGCCCTCTTCCTGCCATGCTCTGTGCGCTGACTGCAGCAGAGGGGACCCCCAGCCAGCCCCTGCATGGGGCTCTGCCACCCACCTCGCCCCAGCCTTCTCCAGTGCCCTCCTTGCTGCTCTTTGATGCAGTCCAGGACCTCCCAGTGCATGCCAGCCAGCACATCTGCTGAGGGCCAGTGCGGCTTGCTGTAGGGGCAGGGAACTCAGCATGGCCCTTGCAGCCCCCTGCCCTGGGCCTGCTTCTGCCCTTGGCCTCGGCCACGGCCGTGGCTCTGCTGGCAGGAGAGCTCTTGGCATGCGCTTTCTGGCCTCCCCTCCTCCCCTGCGCACAGCTGCTGCACACTCAGCCTACTGGCACAACCGTGTCCTCACAAGCAGCACCACCCTTTGGGCTGCTTCACCTGGCTTCCCCCACCCCACTGCCTTGCCTCCTTGTCTCTGCTGGGCCCCACCGTCCACACCCAAATGTGTCCCCCTCCCCCTGTCCTGTGTGATGACTGAGCCATAGGACATACTGCCTTTAGGTGTTGTAGTTGTTATAAATGGCTCAGGATTCAAATTAGGATTAAATGAAAAATAGGATTTATTAAAAGAATATAAAGGAATAGAGGTAAGCAAACAGCGCTGGGTGCACCGGGAGTCTCCGCTCCACCAGGACGCACACCAGTTACATCAAGCAGCTGATTTTTATGCACCTAGACTAATACATATTCATTACTACTTCTAAAAAAAATAGATTATTATAGTTAGCTTCCGGGGTCCAGTTCCTCCTACTGGAGCATGCGCATCAGTCTCCTCTGGGGGTCTCTAGGGGTCTTTCATGCTGAAGGCTCGTAGTCTTCCTCTCACCCTTTGTACTCACTCGGCACTATTCCAAGTTTATGGAACACTCTCTACAGGTCTTGTCTCCCAACCGTCCTTCAGCTTCTTTTTTCTTCCTCTTAATCTCTTGGCCCCCCTGGCCAGATACCAAGGATCCACATAGTATCTCATAACAGTCACCAGCAGTCACCAGTTATTATCAGTTGTTCTGAAACTCCCAAACAGGTTGACGACTCACAAGCAATTAAAACATTCTTTCCCACCTATTCACAGTCATCTATATAACAGCTATAGCAGTGTTAAATCAATCTCAAAGAAGACAGAAAAAAAAAACCTGTAACTGTTAGAACTAGAAGTCAGGAATAACAAAAGCAAACAGGTTCATAAATTTAAGGAGTGTTTTCTGAAGACGTGATAAATTGACTGGAATGAGGGGGAGACTGGGACACACTGCATCTGTGGTTCAAGAACTAAATTGCCAGTGCAGGGCCCAGAGGCAGACAGGATTCAAACAGAATTATTCTTTATGGACACGAATTTATGGACACAAATTTATGGACACAAATTGGAATTGTTAAAACATTCCTCACATAGTGTTTGTAAATCCACATTGGTGATGGCACAAAAAGACAGTTCCTTCACCAGTGGTCTACATCCTTCTTCATGTTAGGCCACAACTGAATGTCCTTCGCTATTTTTAGAGTGTTTTCTTTATCTCACAGTTTAAATGGATTAGGTGTCCTTGATTAATCTGAGGCAAAATGCAATGCTTTTTGCCTTCTGCCACTACAGCACAATGCGTATGCACAATACTCTGTGCATTGACCTGATGGGTCATTTCACATTTTTTTCTTTCATACCCATAATTTGAAGGGGACAATTACCCAAAGTGGGGCAAGCTGATGGGTTCTGTCTCAGCCATTTGAAGTGTCCTGTTCTTGAGTCTTGCAGCCTGAATTTGCCACAGGTGATCCAGGATGGTAAATGGATGTTCAGCTGTCTACTAGGAACAAAAGAGAGTATCTTGAGTTCCCAATGGCCATTTCCACTTTGGGTTAATCCCAAGAACCCAGTGGACTGGGGTGTTCTTTCTGAAGGAGTTTCCTGTGCTGGCCTGG